CTTGGGTGGAAGAAGTTATTTACTGTAGTTTCACCTTGACTTTCTTGGTCATTATTCAGTCTGGTGTGAACTTCCAAGATTTTGCTGGAGTAGTAGTATGTGGGAAGTAGGTAGCATATAGTTTAATTAGTGTTAATTTTAGACTTAAATTTGGTGCTGTATTTACCTCACGAAAGTTACTAGGTAATGTAGCTTTGTCTCATATTTATAAATAATCTATTTAATTTAGGGATTATTTGTTCTTGGAAAGTTTAAAAGAATTCTGCTTTGAAGCTATTTGGGCTGCGTGGTTTTTTTTTCCATAAGGTATTGGTCCCATCATTTCCTGGCAAATAGAGGGTGAAAAAATGGATGCAGTGTCAGATTTTACATTCTTGGGCTCAAAGATCACTGCAGATGGTGTCTGCAGCCATGAAATTAAAAGACACTTGCTCCTTGGAAGGAAAGCTGTGGCAAATCTGGATTGCAAACTGGAAAGCAGAGACATCACCTTGCTGACAAAGGTCTGTATAGTCAAAGCTATGGTTTTTCCAGTAACAATGTGTGACTGTCAGAGTTGGACTACAAGGAAAGCTGAGCATCACAGAATCAACATTTTTGAATTGTGATGCTGGAGAAGACTTTTGAGAGTACCTTGGAGAGTAAGGAGATCGAATCAGTCAATACTTAAAGAAATAAATTCAGACTATTCGTTGGAAGGACAAATACTGAAGCTGAAGTTTAAATACATTAACCACATAATGAGGAGACAGAACTCATTGGAAAAGACTTTGATGTTGGGAAAAATTGAAGGCAAAAGGAGAAGGGGATGGCAGAAGATGAGATGTGTCATGGATAGTGTCATGAAACAACAAACATCAACTTGGACAGACTTTGGGAAATAATGGATGATGGGAGGGCCTGGTGTGCTATGGTCCGTGGGGTCATGAAGAGTCTGATATTGACTGAGCAACTAAACAACATTTCTTTTACTTGTCATTTCTTTGTATGAAACTTATCTATTTATATTATTATTTTTGTGTTGCGTCTATTTTGACTGTTTATATTTTATTTAATTTTTTTTTTTTGCTTTTTGGTGAGGCAATCAGGGTTAAATGACTTGCCCAGCATCACACAGCTAGTAAGTGTCAAGTATCTGAGGCCAGATTTGAACTCAGGTTCTCCTGACTCCAAGGCCAGACCTCTATTCACTGTGCCACTTAGCTGCCCCGACTGTTTATGTTTTTGTACATGAGCATCTGCTTTCTTACTCAGATATTCAAATGGATCTATGATTACTTTGATTTGAAGGATTCCGTCCAGATGGAATGATGACAAATGTTTTCTGAGTCTTGATGGGGCTTTGTTGCCCTGGTTGTTTTGAGGGGAGATAGGTGACATGAGTTGATTGAGTTTGCATTCTGTGTTGAGAAGCCAGACTTTGCAGTCTGAGCTTGTCTGTAGACTGACTAGTCATGCTGCTAGCCCTAATGATTTCTGGTCCAGCTAGACTAGAAGGTGTGGTAGAAAAGAGCTCTGGCAACCCATCCTCCCTACCTTTCTCCTCTCCTTCCACATCCCCTCCCCCAACACCACCCCAGTCAAAAGTGAATTGGAAGGTTGTGGATAGAGGTGCAAAGGGAGGCATTGTACCAATTGAGGTCACTGCTGGCTCTGAGACTTCAGGCCTATCACTATCCTTATAACCTTATCCTTATGTGATTTTCTTGACTAATTTTTTTTGTTTCTATTCTTGCTTATTCTCTCATTATTCTTGGTGTTGGTTGATTAGGAATTTGATTGCTGTTATTTGATTGGTGAGAAAGCTTCTGGAGGAAACTTTCTTACTACTTAGCCTTCTTTCTGAGATCTCCTGAGTGATTGAAACTCCATAAATAATGCCTTGATGCATGTAACCTTGAAGTAGAAAGATGCTTACAAATCAGCCTTCTGAGAAAAGTTCAGTTGTGTGGGTTATGGTGAGAAGGAGGGGCAAGGAACCACCGTTGGATAGCTTCCTAATTTTATCTAATTATTGCAGACTGCTGCTAAGGTAGAATTTTTTCTCCCCGTTGAAAGAGTACAGGTGTGTAAAACATGCTTGAAAGTACTGATTGACCTGCTGTAGTTCTTTCTCCCCTATCCTTTAAAATCCAGCTTGTCTCCTGTAAAAAATCATCGTCTAATCACTCTAATAATCTTTATCTTTTTCTTCCCTCACATCTTGTTTAACACTTACTTCACATGTTTCTTAAACACTTAATGTGCTTCCTTCTGTATTTCACTTCATAAAGACAAGAATCATGTCTTATTTTAATCTTGTGTATACTCAGTGTCTGGCAAGTTGGTCTGCCTACTAAGTGATTAATAAATGTTGATGTTAGTGCTCAGTGAAAGGATTTGAGGGTGCTTTTAGTGCTCAGTGAAAAGCAATACATTTTCAGTATTGTATTTCATGTACCGTATTTCATGCAGTAAAATTTATTGAACCGTATGTATTTTCATATGGGTGAGTCTGGCATTTCGAACTAAGTTATGTCATTAGAAGGAGGTAAAAACAATTATACCATTGAATTGCATAATAATTTCTTCACCTTTTTTTCAGTTTCTAAATAGTTTACTCCCTTAAAGGTTTTATAACACTAATGAAATCTATCTAGTTTGATGATACTTGTTAGCTTCTCCTTTGACACATTTTAACTAATAATAGAGTCCTTTTAGGTCTAGGCAGAATATTAGATTGACCATTCTTTCATATTTTAATGCTGTAAGCCAGAAGTGTCAAATATAGCCATCACTGTTGAGTGCAGCCCAAACCAGATTAAAGTGTAATTGGGAAACAGTTAGCAAAATAAATAAAAATGTTATAGAATATAAATAATATTAATATGTGGTTTTCTAAGTCAGTAACCATTTGCAGGGAACCTTTTGTATGGTTTAGTGGACCTGTTTCTGGTTAAGTTTGACCTGACTGTTGTAGGCTTCCATAAAGTAAAATCTTTGACTAGGAAAATGTTATTGACCAAAAACTTTCAAAGGTGTCACAACACATGTTTCTTGGCAAATGAGTGTAGAGATGTACAAAGCCATTTAAGTGTAATCTGTTTCTAAATTCCCTGAAACATAATTTCTGGCTTTTATGAGAGTAGCAGAGGTACCACTATGTGATGTTAGTAAAAAGAGGTTGAGGCTTAAGAGTGAAGAAACCTAGGTTCAAAACCTGACCCTGACATTTATTAGTTGTGTTAACCATGACTATCACTTAATCTCTGCAAGCCCCAGTTTCCTCCTTTAGCGATGATGATGATGATACTTATACTGCTTATCTCACAGGATTGTTGTAAGGAAAGTCTTTTGTAAAACTTGAAGTGCTATTGAAATGTGATTTGATATTGTTGCTAGTCAATTGTAGATCTTACCATGAGCTCTGTGGGGATATTTTTATCATTTTGCTCTATAATGTTATTTCATTTAATATGGCCATGGATCAGGTTGGTGTCCAGATGAAATGATTATTGCAGAAAAGAATTTTGAGAAAGTGGTACCATCATGCATGCATTATTCTGGACTTTTACTCTTGTTATAACATTAAAGATGCATAGTTTAATAGTGTTTGCCTGGAGTTCTCTTCAAAATCAAATAGTAAGTACAATTTGGAGAATATTATCTATTGTCATATCTAATGAGGAAGAATTTATAGGCATTGGAGGAACCTATACCCCAAACACCCTGGCCAAATTCTTGACATAGTGAAAGATAGTATACATTCAAAACAAATACATACAAATGGAACAGTGGATTTAGGGTGACAAGGATGTGCTTGTGTCCCATTATGTGATGGATGCAGAACTCAGAGATAATATTTCCTGAGTGATGTTAATTAGTGGGAGTGCACTGATAAGCAACACTAAGGAAGAAAATTATTATCTGAAAGGTGAAAGGTCCCAACACCTCAGTTTTTACTTTGCTAATTAATTTAGCAGAAAGACAGTCAAGTTCCACAGCCTATCAGGTTATGCTGGTAACATGTATTCTACCTCACCTTAATAGAGTGAGGCAAAAGAACACAAACCAAGTTGACTTCAAGGATTTACTTCTGGAAAGCAAGTTTCAGGACCTACATTGGAGTGTCTAGTCAAACCTATGTCCTATACCACCTTCTCCTGTGACATGGACAGCTATATTTTCCTCATGGTAGATAGAGTCCTAGACCTAGCATAAGGAAAACCTAAACTAACATCCCACATCTGATACCAGCTGTGTGACTATGGGTACAGTCATTTAACCTTTCTGAGCTTGGTGTCCTCATCTGTAAGATGGAAATAATAAAGCATGTATTACTTTTCTCACAAGATTGTCATGAGGCTTAAAAAGAGAAACAATGTAAAGGATTTTGCAACATTTAAAATATCAATGTCTCTTCATTATTATTTCACAATAATTGATCTTCATAAGGATGACCCTGAGCTAACAAGAAATGGTTAAATATCACATTTTAGAAATATTTCCATCAAAAGTGTTTTACATATTCTGGAATTTAATGGGTTAAATCATAGCTTTCATTAGCAAGGCAGTCCGCTTGTTGTAGTTGGGCAAAAACAGAAGCAGGAGTTAGAAAATCTGCTGCTTATTAGCCATGGCACTTAATGCTTTGAGCCTCATTTTCCTTGGATCTGAAAGTGGAGGTAAAAATACCAGTTTTGCCTACTTCATAGGATTGTTAATAAACTTTAAGGTAGTATATAGTGTTTTTGTTCTTGCTTTAATCAATGTTTGGAAAACTTTCTTATTGCCTGAGTGTCCTGGAAAACAGGAATTTTACTATAATAAGTTTTTTTGATTAAATTCTTCATTATAAAAACTAAAACGAAGGCTGATCTCTTAATCTGTGTTTATCCTGTATTAAAAAAATGAGTTATTAATAACCATTGTCAGTGATTTACTGCTATATCATTTGGTAATTGTTGCCTCTAATAAACCAACCTATTTATTTAATATTTTCTTTTTTCTTCCTGTTCCAGAACATTCCATACTCTTCTGAGTATAAGGTGAATCCTTGCTGTTGACAGCTTTACATCAATGTGCCTACTTGTATGCCCACAAATTATGTTAAAGATTGAAAACAAACTTATAGATGGATCCTCTCCAACTCTGGTGTTTTTTCAACATGTACTGTGCCTCAACTACCATTTCTAAGTGGTAAGAATGGTTTTTCTTAAGAAGGCTTTAATTTTTCTCTACACTTGTCACCTATATGTAATTTGTTTTTTCATGCCTTTTTCTTTTTACCAATTACTGCCCATGTTGAATATTCAGATTTGCCTGAACATTAACTAAAAAGCCCTCATGGCAGGTCTTAGAAGCTTACAAACATTCTTTACATTTTGCATCATAAGTATTATTAGCAACATCTATAGAAAAAGTGCCAAAAAACTCTAGCACCTGACTCATGTTCAGCATCCTTTATATGAGACTGAGCAAATATAACTTTTTTCTTTTTTTTAGGCATTTATAAGTCTTTTCCTGTTATTTGTGTGTTTGAGACGAAGGCTCATAGTCTCATAGAATTTAGAGCTCAAAAACACTATAGAGATCATCTAATCCAACCCATTTATTGTATTTTATTTTTATTATTTTTGAATTCAACAAAAACTAAAAGAGCATTTCCATATACAAATTAGAGTAGCTACTAAGACTTGTACAAAGTACAAATGCAATATAGCTTAGTCTCTATCAACTAAGGTATATTGCATTTGTACTTTGTACAGGCTTTGAAGTAAAGAAGACCTGATCAATAATTCCCTGCTTCCCTTGTGCTTAAGAAAAAAAAAAAGGGAAAACCCCCCAAATATACATAGTCATGAAATAAACCCACATATTGCATATTTGAAAGTTTCATTCTGCCCTTTGAGATTATTACCTCTGTCAGGAGGTAGAGAATAGTGCTTTCTCATAAACTTTTAAAATTTTTCTTTACAAGATTGTTGTTACTGAATAGTTTTTCTTGGTCTGCTTACTCCCCTATGCAACTGCATTGGACTTCTTGCACACACCACCCTGCTGTAGAACATACTGGTCAATATTGCGTTAGATGCAGATTTCAAGTCTAAAAAAAAAAAGTTAGCCTGGCTTTCTTCAAGGCTTAGCTGAAGTCCTACCTTCTCCAGGAGGCCATTCCTGGTTCCTCCAACTTCCCTTTCAGATTACTTGGTTATTGCTATATTGGTTCCTGCATTGGAATGTCTACTCCTTGAGGTCAGGGACTATTTTTTGCCTTTCTTTGTATACTCATTGCTTACTGGAACATTTTGTTGTTGTTGTTCAGTTGTTTCAGTTGTCTCTGATTCTTTGTGACTCTGTGGAGCTCTGGGGAATTTTTTTGGGCAAAGATACTGTAGTGCTTTGCCATTTCCTTCTCTAGTGGCACACAGAGGTTAAGTAACTTGCCCAAAGTCACACAGCTAAGGAGTTTCTGAGGCTGGATTTGAATTCAGATCTTCCTAACTTAAAGCCCAGTGCTGTATCCACTGCATTACCTAGCTGTTCCTCCTGGAACATTTTGTTCAGTTTTTCAGTGGTGTCCAATTCTTTGTGACCCCATTTGGGGTTTTCTTGGCAAGGATGCCATTTCCTTTTCCACTCATTTTTACAGATGAGGAACTGAAGCAAACAGGATTAAGTGACTTTCCCAGGGTCACATAGCTCATAAATGTCTGAGGCTGGATCAGAATTCAGGAATATGGGTATTCCTGACTCCAGGCCCCAAACTCTATCTAGTATGCCACCAAGCTGCCCTCTACTGGAAAATAGTAAGCACTTAATAAATGCTTATTTACTGGTCATATCACTTTGCATCAGTTCTTAGAAGTCTTCCTAGGTTTCCTTGAAACCATCCTTTTCATCATTTCATCTCATTTAATCATTTTGAGGCAGCACAATAGGATTTTTGTAGAGGGCTTTATATTTATACATTAAAAAAATACTATACAGTAATTATTTAAGCATACATTGTATTCTCTGTATGTTTATGGAAGAAATATGCAAAAATATGTAAAACAGTGGCAATCCTCACAAATTTTTTTGTTTTCAAAAATACTTTTCATAAAAATGTGTTATTTATGTTAACGCAATGGTTTTAAGTGAATTGATAATAAATATTTAAAAAATTTTATCAGTTTTAATTTCTAATGGGTAAATATCAGCAGATATAACCCACATAAACAAGCTTTTTGGGGTCCTTGATTTTTAAGAGTGTAAAGGGGCCCCCGAGACCAAAAAGTCCCCATCCCCCCCAGAATTTTTTTTTTTGGTGGGGTGATTGGGGTTAAGTGACTTGCCCAGGGTCACACAACTAGTAAGTATCAAGTGTCTGAGGCTGGATTTGAACTCAGATCCTCTTGACTCCAAGGCCAGAGCTCTATTCACTGCGCCACACCTACCTGCCCCGAGACCAAAAAGTTTGAGAATCGCTGCTCTATTTGGATACAGTTCCAAATTGCTTACCGGAATAGCTAGATCAATTTGCTCTATCAACTGTACATTAATGTACTTCTACCCATATACAGCACCTTCAACAATGGTCATTTTTCCTTTTTTTGTCAGCTTTACCAATCTGATAGGTGATACAAAACCTCAGAGTTGCTTTTATTTTCAGAGATCCCTGCATTTCATATTTATAAATGTAAAAGGAAATTTCTTCATCTTTCCTCTTAATTTGTTCATGATGTGTATAAGCTTTCATGTCTAAATCATATATCCATTAGGAGCCAATCTTGGTATATAGTGTGAAGTATTGGTCTTCTAAGCATAATTTCTGCCTGACTGCTTTATAGTTTCCTGAGGAGTTTTTGTTGGGTAATGAGTTCTTACCCCAGTGTCTGGGGTTTTAGGGTTTATCAAATACTAAGCTACTGTGTTTGTTTTTTCCTGAATGTTATTTACCTGATCTCTTCCACTGGTTGACCTCTTTTTTAATCAGCAACGAATCATTTTGATGATTATTGCTTTTTTATAGTTTGAGATCTAAAACTGTTGGTTCACTTTTTTTTTTTCCATTTTTCCCTTATGGGTGTTTTTTTTACACTTTATTCCTCCAGATGAATTATTTTTCTAGCTCTATAAAATGCTTCTTTGGTAGTTTGACTTGATTGACAACTGAATAAACAAATTAATATAGGTGGCATTATCATTTTATTATATGATCTCAGCAATTAATATCCTTCAATTATTTAGGTCTGTTTTTATTTTTGCAGAGTGTTTTATAGTTGCATTCATATAATTCCTGTGTATGTCTTACTAGGTAGACTTCCAATGTTTTTTACATTCTGTAGTTACTTTAAATGAAACTTTTTTTCAATCTTTTCCTTTTTGTGTTGTTGGCATCATATCCCATAACTTTGCAGGTTATTGTTCCAATAAATTTTTAATTGATTCTAAGGTTCTATAAGTAAACTATCATATCATCAAGTGCAGCACAAATATATAATTTTGCTTTCTTTTTGCCCATATTTATTCGTTTGAATTCCTTTTTTCTTGTCTTATTGCTATAGCTCACGTTTCTAGTACTATAGCAAATTTGTTCTTATCTAGTCATTCAGTTATATCTGACTGTGCATGACACTATGGAGAAAGTCCATGGTGTTCTCTTGGCAAAGATACTGGAGTGGTTTGCCATTTACTTCTCCAGTTGGAGCAGGGGTAGAGAGAATAGGAGAGGGCCCAGGACCCTGTGGCACAGGGTGTGATCTGGATGAGGATTCAGCAAATGAGACTGAGAAGGAGCCATCTGATTGGTAGGTGGAGAACCAGGAGAGAGTGCTGCCCTAGAAACTTAGAGAGAAGAGAATATGAAAGGGAAGAGAGTGATCACAGTGTCAAAGGCTACAGAGAGGTCAAGGAGAATGAGAACTGAGAAAAGCCATTGGATTTGACAATTAGGAGATCAGTGGTAACTTTGGAGAGAGCAAATGATAAGTTGGGAAGTTGGATTATAAAGGGTTGAGAAAAGAATAAGAGAGAAAGTGGAGCCACTTACTGCAGATGACCTTTTCAAGGAATTTAGCTGAAAAGGGCAGAAAAGATATAGGATGGTAATTAGTGGGGATGGAAGGATCAAATAAGAGTTTTTTAGGGTGGGGGTGACATGCCATGTTTGTAGGGAAGCAGCAGGTAGACAAAGATTGAAAAAAGTGATAGAGTGGGGATAATGGGGCAGTCTGTTGGAGGAGATAGGATGGAATGGGATCACTTGAGCAGGTAAAGGGGTTCCTTCATAAGGAGTAAGGCTATCTCATCATGTGAGACAGGGATGAAGGAGGAGGTAATGATAGAAGGTATATAAGTAATGTGAGATGAAGAAGAAAGAAAATAGGGAGCTCATGGTAAATGACCTCAATTTTTTTCTGTAAAATATGAAGTAAGGTTCTTATCTGAGAGAGTTTGGGGTGGGTGGAGAGTCACAGGAGGCTTGAGGAGGGATGAAAAAGTTTGAAAGAACCACTTTGGATAATGAGGTAGTGAGTTGATGATGGAGGTATAATAGGGTTGTCTAGCAGCAGTGAAGGACCAGTTGTGATGATGCAACATAAATTTGTAGTGAACTCAGAATGGTTTATGATTTTCTCTACCTTTTTTCAGTAGCATGTGTGTAAGAATATGGGAGGAATGGTTGGAATGAGTCAAGGCTAAGGCTTAACAGGGTACAATCAACAAAATCATAAGGTGATTAGAGATTCAAGGGAGAAGAACAGTGTAGTGTTCACTAGGCAGTCAAGATCGGGAAAATAGGAAAGAGAGTTAGTTTAGGGGAGATGGCCTGGGAGAGAATTGAGAGGTCAAGGCATTAGAAGTCATGGTACAGATGAAGAGTAGGGTTTTGTAAAGGAAGGCAGAGGGAGAGGTGAAAGGCCAAAAGATTACGGTTGGATAAGGAGATTTCAGAATTCTTGAATACAGAAGTGGTATGTTTGTGGGTGATGGCAAGATCAAGGGTATGACATCTTTGTGTGTGGCTGAGGTAGAGTGGAGGAGTAGCTCATGAGAAGTGAGTGAGATGAGGAATTGAGTGAATAGGGTGTTTGAGGGAGAGAATATATATGTATGTGTATGTATACATGTGTGTGTATGAGTTGGGGAGGAGAGGAAAATTGTGAGCCGTATACTGAACTCTCACTAAGGAAGGAAGGGAGTGACCTGGAGGT